GATGAGTACGCCGTCTAAGAGCATGGTTAATAGCACAGTCTGCTGCTGGCTATAAGCCCCTGCCTCATCATCTATAAAGCCTTCCCACACAATAAGCTGGCTTTTAGGTTGGCTTTAAGATTGACCCTAATAAAGACATGGACATTTAATATTTGCACCTGTTGTGATCCAATACATACAACATCTTTGTGGCCATTTCAATTAGCATATATCTACCATTCACGCCAATAGGATATACCAGATATACCAAAAGAAACTGATCAATATTCAAGCAATTTCAATAATTATGTATACATATATTCCATTCATGTCAATAGAACAGACCAAGGAAAACTAATTAATAAACAAGCAAGAAACAGCTGCGCATAGCACCATGACAAAACAGTTGAACATTGCTTGAGTCTTTCCAAGGAAGCATTAACCAAACATAGAACTAAATAAGACGCCCGGCAAACAAGCCGTTAGTTTTAATCTTGGCGTCGACGATCAACAAACTAATGGCGCATAACACCATGACATCGACACTCAAACATTACACCAGTCTTTTTAAGAAAACATTAACCAAACAAGAGACAATGCAAATAAGCCATTAGTTTTGATCTTGACGATGATAAGTTGGAACTTCAATAGAAAGGAGCGACAAATCCATCTGCGTCAACAATCTTCAGCCACTGTATGAAAAAATGGAAACAAAGCATATGGTAAATATTTCCGCATGAATGCAAATGATGATGAGATGAAGATGGCATGCTCATGACAGTAAGAGTTGCATTATGATTCACTATTATAGGCTATAACTTCTGTAATCCAACAACTATACATGTTCAGTAAAATCAAGTACATTGCCAATAGGAACATGAACAAGCTATAAAAGACTAAACTGTAAGTAGAGAATGCATACGAGTAGGTTGCACATGCAGCAGTCACCACGACACGGCATAGTCCTGGAATAAAATGTATGTAAGATATAATGTTGATCCTCCGTTAACAGGAAGGAAAAAAGAATAGTAACATGCAGATGTCAATATCCCACCGTGACTAATTGTGATGCCTATTTTGAGCCCTATGCCAAATATGCTCGACCAGAATATTTTTAAGTTGGTTATGTTGTGGACGAGCACGGATGGTAGCTTTCCTACGCAGTACATCAGCAAAACAAAGATTACCACCAACATTCACTTCAGAGGGTAGATCAAATGAAGCCCCTGGAATCTCATTCAAGTCAATATGAACGTTAACTTGCTCTCTCTCATCTTCGACTATCATATTGTGGAGAATCACACATGCTCGCATGATCCTTCCAACACTCTTTCTCTGCCATAGTCGTGCAGGCCGGCGAACAATGGTAAAGCGGGACTGCAATACCCCAAAAGCACGCTCCACATCTTTCCTTGCCCCTTCTTGGTACTTGGCAAATAACTTATGTTTATCTGTTTGGGGAAGTGGTATGGTCTTCATGAAGGCAGCCCACTCTGGGTATATACCATCAGCAAGGTAGTAACCCGTGCTATACTCATTTCCATTGACTGAAAACTGAACTTGAGGGGCTTCTCCTTTCAAGGCATCAAAAAACAGTGGGGACTGGTTGAGCACATTAAGGTCATTGTTTGACCCAGCAATTCCAAAGAAAGCATGGCAAATACGAAGGTCCTGGGAAGCAACGGCTTCTAGGATCATTGTAGGCACTCCATAATCACCACGGGTGAATTGCCCCCTCCATGCTAAAGGACACTTATCCCATCACCAGTGCATGCAATCAATACTTCCTAACATTCCAGGAAAACCACGAGACTCATTAACCTGAAGCAAGTGCTCAATATCCTCTCTTGTGGGGCGTCGCAAGTATTCCCCGTCAAACACCGCAATCACACCCCGTGCAAACTTGTCCATACACTCTAATGCAGTGGACTTCCCAATCTTCAAGTACTCATCAAGGGCATCTGCAGGGGTGCCATACGCTAGCATGCGCATGGCTGCAGTACACTTCTGCAATGGTGAGAGGCCTATTCGGCCAGAACAATCTGCCCTATAAGTGAAATAGGGAGACCACTGACCAAGGGCATTCACAATGCGTAGGAAGAGGTGTTTATTCATGCGAAATCTTGTACGAAACATACTCTCGTCGTAGAGTGGATCAGCAGCAAAATAGTCCTCCACCAAACGTTCATGAGCACCTCCATGATCCCTTCGAATGATCTTCCTTGGACCACTTTGTCGCTGAGATGATCCAGCTGAAATCCTAGCCTTGATCTTCATCATGAGTCGCTCGGCAAAGGAGTCCAAGACGGTTTGCTCAGCAACATACTCTTCCATGATTTTGGATGGGGCTAGTTCATCAGAGTCATCTGAGTATGATGATGAATCTGACATGGTGGGTGAGGAAGATTGGTTTGTAGGCTGAGCAGGAAGATGAGAGGTATGGGAAGGAAGATGGGTTTGGGTGGATGAGTCTAAACCTGAGATGGGGCATTATATAGATGTCTCAAGTGTCCTGAGTGTATAATTATGGTTGCATGGTTATCTGGAATGCACTGTAGTTAAGTGTAATTTGACTATTGACTACATGATTTTTTGCACTTCTACATGGTTATCTGGAATGCATTGTAGTTAAGTGTAATTTGACTATTGACTACATGATTTTTTGCACTTCTACATGGTTATCTGAAATACACTATAGTTAAGTGTAATTTGACTATTGACTACATCTTCTTGTCCGGCTCCACATCTTCTAGGCGTTCCAAATATGCATCCCATTTTGGTTGCTCTTTTAGAACTACCCAACAATGCTCAAACATAAATGGACCGTCTCCTGGGTGATCTGCCTCATAAGTTTGCATTGCCCTCTTCTTTAAATCTGCATCAGATTCACCACTAGCATACAGTGCACTAGCTTCCTTGTAACTCCCACAAAACCATGCAACCCTTTTCTTAATTCTCCCAAAGCGATCCTTCACTTGCTTGACTAGCCTTTCCCTGTTTTTGGGAGTGGTACTATTGTAGACAGCAGCAACTTCGTTCCAGTATTGGTCGTTCTTCTTGTAATTTGATTGGATTGGATCGTTTGAATTATTCAACCAAGCACCAACCTACAATATTACCAAAAGAGGTTTATTCTTCTCCTAGTAATGTAACACATGGAGACCAACATGGAAAAAAAGCTTACCAATCTAAGATCTTCCTCTTTTGTCCACAGCAAGCGCTTTTCAGTCCTTGCACACTCGCCACCATTGGTGGCATCTCCTTTCTTGATTTGTTGCGATGAAGTCCCATTGCTCACAGCTTGGGAAAGGCTTGGCATGTTCTTAAAAAAACCAAGGAACCCACCAGGTGGGTGAGAATCCACTCCCCTACCGAGACAACACTAGATGATCAAACAATCGACTTCATATAACAACAGGGTTTAACAAAAAAAAAGACATCACATTTAAGCAAAGAACATTTCATTTGTAATTTTTAAGATTGACTAGGCAGTATTCTAATCTACCGAAATATAAGAAAGGATTTCTTATTACTAGTTAAGTACAGTACAAAGGCCGTCAAGGAGAGACTAAATGTTCAGAGTTTCAAATAAGATGGATACACTTATTTGCTTTCTGTTTCTGTCATAACCATTTTTAAATTACAACAACTGAGCATCATATCATATACATGTGGATTCATATCATACAGAAACACATAGCTGCATATCATGCAAATATTTGACAGTTTGACACCAACAAAGACCATCTGCATGTTCAGAGTTCAGAAAAACAGAAAAACAAATGTATCACATAGCAGGCTAGCATTGCATGACAGTACTAACTAAACCAGATATGTGTAAACAGGTGAACAAATGTATCAAATAGAAGGCTATCATAGCAAGACTGTACTAGTAAACAGGGGGAGAACACATACCATGCTTCTGGATTCAGATCATCAACATTCGTGTACCACAAAGGGCCTTGCGTCTGGGGCAGCCAGCATGGTGCAGAGGCCGCCGCTGCCTTTGGTGGCCGTGGGGGGATCGAGGCACCTGGTCCGGGCTGGCGTGGCGGCGGGACGAGGTGTGGCGCCGACGGCGGCGGGACGAGGTGCGGCGCCGACGGGGGCGGGACGAGGTGTGGCGCCGACGGCGGGACGAGATGCGGCATCAACGGCGGAACGAATTGAGGCAGCGACGGCGGGACGACCTGAGGCGCCGGCGCACGCGTCCTTTTGGACTGCTGGCCCATCTCCTTGATGCAGCGCCGGCGGCTGTTCTAGGGTTTGGGGTGGTGGCGATTTGGGGGAAGCTGGAGACTTTAGAGCTTCGATTTGGCGCGCACCAAGCGATTTGGAGCGAGGGAAAGATGGATTTCGCGCGCGGAGGTGGAAGGAGAAGCGCACGAGGCAAGGGAGACGCACGGGATTGGAAGCGGCGGCGCTAGCGCTCGCATCGGGCTGCAAGCGGGCGGAAGGCTCTCGTGTTCTGTATCTTAGCCCGGCGCTTCACGAAGAGCTGGCTCCTTCTCTCTCCTTTCTTTTTTTCTCTCCAGCTCAGATTTTTGCTGACGTGGACTCCGTTGCAGCCTGCTGAATAGGACTATTGTACTTTCTCTAAGAAGGATAGGTGGAGCAGGGACAAGGGTGGTTGGTCGATAAATAGATTAGACTAGGAGACCCGCTATGCAAGGAGAGAAATAATCGAAATAGCTTGATTGAGGAAGGCGGTGGACACACCAACATGGTTAGAAACTACACACAACACCTTTTAATCAAATGTCACTATATCTTTTTTTTGTCGTGACAACGCAATATTACGCTCCCGGTGCAACGCACGGGCAATTTCCTAGTTCCTCTGAAATTCTTTGAAACCAAATGAGGCCTAAGCGGCGCAGAAAGTCCTCCAGCTTCCAGCCCAAGCTGATACGGCAACCTGTACGGCCCACCATCCTAGAGCAGACAGACCACGCTACATTTCTTCTCCCACAATATTTTTTCTTTTCTCCCAAGTCCAAAGCGATCCTCCCGCACACTCGAGAATGTTCCGCAACCCGCGCCGCGCCGCCCTGCTCCTCGCCGCCGGCGCCGCCGCAGCGGGTGCCGGGCGCCTCCACGACCGCGGCGAATCCGCCACGGTCGTCACCGTGTCTGCCTCCGCGCCGCTCCGCCATCTCCTGTCCACCGCCGCCACGGGGCTCATCTCCAGCAACCCCCTCCTCGCGCCGTGGCAAGGTTCGGTTTGCTGTCGCGTCATCTGCTTGCCTGGGCTAGTTTACGGTTATCACCTAGCATGTTTGAACAGGGTGTCATTAATTCGCGATTATTGGTAACCAGTAGTACTATATCGAATGCTTTGTGGACTGTGGTGCCAACTACCAATGGCTATTAGTTTAAGCTAGCTATTTTTGCAACACAGAACACTTGTTGGAATAATGACACTAGATCATCCTTGCTGATGGTTATTAGTTTCCCCAAATTGGCACTAAAGTCTGCTGCTGAGGAGACAGAGGAAGGGATGTTCATTATGCGGTGGAGACATATGAGGAGGTGGAGACAGAGTTTGAGAGGTTTTAATTTTGATGCATAAAACTAAACGAAATGCAAAAAGCAAAATATATGATTAATTAGCTCTAAATGCAATGAATATAATCATAACGCAGTAAGCAATAGCAAGGAAAGTTCCAAAAAAATTATAGTCGTTCAGATTTTATGGATGGTTAAGGTGATTAGTATCCAAGCGCAACTTGTAGTATTGTTTGTAGAGTGTCGATATAGAATTGCAAATGTAGAATTTCAAATGGCAAAACATATTTATGTATTCTGCTAAAAAATAATTTACTGTTGAAGTTCTTTGCTGGGAAAAGTGTAAGAACATTTCTTGGAAAATGAATTCTGTCTTGGGGCACAACTGTTCTCAAATGATGTGATTGCGGTTTAGCTTCTTTTCTTATATGTTGTCTTAGGGCAGTAAATCCCTTCTTTGTCTGCGGTCATATATCTTTTCCATTTCTACCTTATTACGTGATGATTTCTTGAGAGTACGTAGTAAATGCTATTAATGGATTGCAACTGTTCTGGGCGAGTAGTTTAGCTGGATTCAATGATGTTATATATTAATAAACATAGTTGGAGACCAGTTTGGTGGAGGCCTGCATCTGGACATTAGAACACTATTTGTAAGCACATATATGTCACAGAAATGCTGTGTGTGTTACACTTTGTTTCCCCCAATAATGCCTCATTGTATACAAATTTTTGTGTACAGGGGGTTTCCCTATACTAAACTCTTTTGCATCTGCATCGGTTCCACCCACAAACCCGATCAACCATGCCTCTGGTGGAAACTCTGATGATTCGAGATGTTGCCCAGGATGTCTAGGCAGAAACTCAATTGCCAATGCCGCAGCTGCAGTTGGTCCTGCTGTGGTGAATATTTCTTGTATGCAAGGTGGGAATGTAGCTGCAACGGAAATTGTTAAAACTTATGACCAGTTTCACTAGCTATATGTTGTAAACTTGTGCAATTATTTCTGTAGAAAATGGATGGTTGCGAGAGAAGAGCCTTGGATCAGGGACTATAATAGATCCAGATGGGACCATATTGACATGTGCCCATCTTGTTACAGATTTTCAAAGCACAAAACCAGGTCTAAAGGGGAAGGTTAGTAACTTGGCACTACCAGTACTTTTTGTGTTCATCTTGTGTTATCCATTACGGCTGACATTGCTAATACTGTACAATGCTTATCATTGACAAATGAAACTAGTATTATGATACATGGATATGACTTGTTGAAGTTCTTAAAACACTGGAAAGTCAAAACTCTAACCTGGAGCACCTGTTCCTGGGTGTAAAGGAAATAATAAATCAAAATGCTTTATGGATGTAAATGTATTC